TATATATTAATTTTTTGTTTGATCATATATTGCAAAATTATTGAACACCATTTATATTAATTTTCTACTAATATTTCCTCGTGTTACGCGATATTTATTCGTGTTAAGATGATCAAATAGAACTCTTTGGAATTTCCTATACGAATAGACGAACCATACTGCAATTACAAAATAACTATTACTATGAACGTTAAAGATAATTATTTAGAGAGAGAGAGAGAGAAAGAGAGAAAGAGAGAGAGAGAGGGGAACAAAGAAATAGTGGAATAAAATACGTCATTGAAATAAAATCGTACATAAAACTTAACAATAAAATCAAAATAAAATTAATCTATTAAGATAATATTATTTCTCTCTCTCTCTCTCTCTTTCTCTCTATTTTTATCATATTTGTTTTTTTTTTATTAACACATTGAAACAATAGTTAACAAATTAATTATTATTTCACAAATTGGCACACTTTTTTCTTCATATTTCTTTCTTCGGAATTAAATTTTTATCTTTGTCCGTAGCAAGAAATAAAAAAAAAAAAAAAAAAAAATGGACAAGTAAATATGAGTCACGTTTTGATGCAATAAAAAAAAAAAAAGAAAGAAAATAAAATTAAAAAAAAAAAAAAAAGACCATTCACATGGATTCTTTTACGAAGATCTTTTTACGCGCGCGCACACTTTTGCTTTATCGCATTTTTTTTCTCTCTCTCTCTTTTTTTTTTTTTTGCAAAGATTACAACCAAAAGATAACCTTTTTCATTTTATAACACGCAACTAATCTAAAAAAAAAAAAAAAGAAAAAGGAAAAAAAGAATATTTATGTAGTGTGTATATTTAGATACATATATCATTTGCATACATTTGTAATACAAGTTTACGATGATACGAAATTACATTTACATTTATTATATCTTTTATTCTGTTATGTGTTTTATATTTCATTTGATTTTTTTTTTTTTTTTTAGCCATCCTTACTTTGATCTTTAATTTTATTTTAATTAAAAAAATTTTTCTTTTTTTTTCAGAAAAAATGATGATGATATTAATAATATTAATTATGTCCAAATTGCAGACGTAATTAATTGTAAAATATTTCTGAATAATTTTGTTCTATTTTCACCAATTAAAAATTAAAAAATAACAAAGTAAATAATAATAATAATTATAATAATAATAATAAGTATTTTTGGCACGACGATATCGTCGTAAATGGTGGTATAACATTAATATTAAATAATAAATAAATAAATAAATAAATATAATAAAATAATAGTCTCGTCTTAAAAAAAAAAGTTCGTCTCGTTAAATTAATTAAA